TTCCACATAAACTAAGCACCTACCCATGATGGGAAGCACAGATGAAACGGTGTAACAGAAAAATTGCTAATTCGGTTCAGACCATCCAAGAGACAGGGAAAAGACGGAAAAGTTGGAAAATATGAGCAGTAGATTGATGAATGGGATGAAGAGTATTCATCCAAAAGGGACAGCATGTTTTGTTAGTGGACAGCGCTACCAAAAACTCTTAATTCGGTTCAGAAACAGGCTACATCCTAAAAATATTCCCTGCAGACTGAAAATAATTCAAATAAGCAATTTCTTGACATGAGACAAGCATGCCTGAAGTGGGCGTGTTTCTTCACCTAGATTATTGGCTGAAACTGGAACCCATACCATTCAAAAGAAAATTGTCTGCCACGCAGAGCCTCATATTTTTCTTCCAGGTTGATGCTGTGAATTTCAGGTCCGCGAAACAGGTCCAATCGACGAAAAGTAGCCAAACCGGCGATCAAATCAAATTCTGTTTTCCAACGTGAAAAATCAGTCGGTGATCTACCCCTTACTTTTTCGAGACCATCTTAACAGTGCTCCATTGGGTTGCCCAACAAATTAAGTTGCTCTTCTTACGGATTAGCTTCTCCTCTGGAAATTGCCATGCGAGGTTGCGAAAAAGTGGTGAATGTTTAGAAATAATCATGTCTAGGTACGAGATTCTGGCTCATTCCATTGCCTTTTAGGGAAATTTTTCCGAACCGCCAGGGGGTCTCGATTTCACCTACTTCATAATGAAAATAAAAATGAAACATAAGGTCAAATATAGCAAGAGAAGCTATATCATGATTCATGAAGTAATGTGGAAACATGGTGTTTTAGAGCAGAAATTCTTGTTTAGAAAACTACGATGGCTTAGCGTTCGACCAGAAAAACCGTTATCGGAAAGAAATATGACAACGATGTTTGGACAACCCAATAGCTGAAGTTTCAGAAGAGTTCGTGACCTCTTCACCCGCTTCGCGATGCGATTACGCAGATGCACCTCAATAGTCACTCTCGTTCCGTGAACATGGAGACCCTCGGTGTACCCCGTCAGACCGCCATAGAACCATCAGACATTACCCTGCTCCCGGTACAATCTCTGAATTTCCTCAGACTGACAGACCGGTCAGTGCTACGCCCACTCGGATCGCGAAATGATAAGAAAGCAACGAACGTAATCCACGTCGAACGAGAAAATGGCGGAAAGCGTTAATCTTCGGAGAGGCGGTGCGAAACATTATTCGAACAAAACTTGGGATCTATCATGTGTCCTTCATCCGTTCTCAAAATCTGTTAACGCGCGCGCGGCAACTGGAGAACATCACGGTTTTTTTTTTGAAAGAGAGTATCCTCACCGTTGAGGCTTCCATAATACCCAAAACAAGCATACACTACTTCCCACCCCGTCAGTGTCATGCTCTGGTGTGAATTGTATTCGAAAGGCCAGATATCCTTGATCTTCGTAGAGCGGGGGTCAAATTAATAAGGAAAACTTTCGATCCATAAAACGACACTCTTTATGTAACACCCAAGAGAAAGAGACCAGAAAATGAGGGCATGGTCAAGCTCTTTGTACGCGCTGCACGCTACGAGCTGAGCAGGCTATGAGCAAAATATCACGATGTTCCGGTCATGTGGCTGAAGCCATATTTGAAGCACGTATTGATAAGCCGAAACAAACTGGCGTTTACATTCGAATAAATACCTTGACAACATCCGCACCAAAGAGATATCCTGCCCCTCGTGGACTCATTCCCCATCCCACCGATGAGTCCTCTGGATCCGACCACAACAGGTCGCACATTGGGCCATCATGCGGTACCTAAAAACTTTACACATTACATACAAATTTCGGTCTCGAAAGAAGAAAATCGTGAATGGTGTTAGGGAATTCACAGCAAACTGAGTTTCGCGGCGCAACGTAGCAGAGCCCTTTTCATAGATATCTCACAAAAAAGAGATCGAGACCTTCAAATCTAGCTAATTTTTTTTTCACACTACTCTTGAAAATAGAATGAAAGAGATGGCACCGAAACTTGTTCGCCTAGAAACGAGAGTCCCTGAAGTTTCGCACCACAAGCAAAACCGGACAAACAGATGATTATATTACGCGGACGAACAATTAAATGAACGAAACCAGTTACCTCTTGTTTTCGGTCAATTACACGTATTTGGTCCAATGTTTGAATAGATGGCGATAGCCCTCCATGTACGCAGAAGGCCTATTAACAAGTAAAAAATAAGAGTAGGACAGTTGCGGTAACATTTCATTTTTCCAAAAAAAAAACAGTTGAAACTGAATAGTGCACTACCTTTCCGTCGATAACAGCTGAGAGTGAAAGGTAGTCAAAAACTTCTGTACAGGCTTTCCAGACGGCTGCACTACCGTACTTCCGTAAGCATTCATCATAAAATCCATATACCTTGAAAGACAGGATAAACGAATACAGTCGCTGCTTCGCACACAATGAGAACTCTACTCGGTCGCCGCTATGGTTTACAATCGCCGATCATATCGCCTGAATGCACAGCCTAGTGTGAGGTGGACACCTATTGACCATCAGCTGCATGATCGGATGAATGGACTCGATACGTACCTACCCACACTCTGTTGTGCGATCAGACGATTGGTCCGATCGGCAAACTATAACTGTAGCAATAGACATGACCTCATTGAATAGACAAGAAAAGATGGGGAAAAGTCGACATGGGAGGACGGTGAGGGAGGATGCGAGATGAAGAAAGCTACCAAGAATTGATGCGAAAGGTAATCCGGAGAAACACGGTCAAGAAGAGGAGCAATTGGAGAGAAACATAGAACAGTCTTCTTATTGATAGGTTGACGAAACGCCATTGTGTGCGCACCTACCCAACTTTTTTCAAACAATATTGCATCAATGGTGGTAGTGTGTTCTATTTGTCGTATCCAACAAGGACTTGGACAGTTTTGGGACATAAAAATGGAGGAGCAATTGAGCAAAACGAATCTTCTCCGTGTGAAAGTGTTGGACGTAAGTGCTCGCGTAGCCAATACGCTAATGCAGCGCAATGAACTCTCCTTCAAAGCACAACCTAAGAAAAGACAGGATTTTACCCCTCAGCAAAGATTGAAAGGTGTTAACTATTTCGGTAATTTTCGACAAAT